AAGGGAAGTTCCTGAGAGGTCCTTGCATAACCAAAGTGACATTTTGGCATTTAGAACAAAACGCTAAAATCCTGCTGGTGTTACATGGCTTCTTTTCAACTCAACATTTAAGAATGTGAGGGTCTGCATCTCAAACTCAATGTTTCAACAYCCATATTTCTCCTGAGACACCTTGGGAACCCTTCCTGGTTCCTCTAGCTGCACAGAAGGGGGGTTTTGCCCCTTTTCCAGCTCTGAGGTCTCATCTCACCCCAGACACAAACTCGTGCCATGTTCCTGCTGTTGACTGCAGCAATTCTGCAGCCAAGAGTGAGTCAGAGCAGCCCTGTGATCCTGCTCAAACCAACCCTGCAAAAAAAGGGTTTTTGTCAGGATCAAAGTCCCAGGATCCCCGGTCAGAAAAGGGGGTGAAGGACAAGGACCTGTGATCGGTCTGTGAACCCACAGAGCTCCTYGGGGTGCAATCTCCACAGGGATTTTATTGCAGGACAGCAAACCACACCTAAAAAATCCACCCAGCTACCCTCTGCTTTGGGATCAGCTCCCAGGGAYCAGTTCCTTCCATTTCAGGAGAGTTTAACTCCCACTGACCCTGTTAAAGCAGCTGCTGCCCTTGCATAAAGGGTAAATAAATCAAATATCCTGACAAGGTTTTTGTCATAACTCTATGGCACTTCGTCTCCCTGAAAAGTCCTTTCCAACCTGCCCATAAATAGATGTTTAACAGACAGGTAGGATGCTCCACTCATTCTGGATTTAATAAATCTGATAAAGTGACATTTCACCTCCCTCAGCCTGCATTTCTTATCAGCCCTCAGAGGTGAACTTTGAAATATTCAATTTTCACAGGAAAACCAAATGYCTGATACCTCATGGAGCCAGCTTCACTTTGTACTCCTCGAATCCCAGAATCCCAGATTAATTCAGATTGGAAAAGGTTTCCAAGAGCCCAACCTCAACCCTTGTCACCCAAACCAGGCTCTGGGTGCCACCTCCAGTGGCAGTGGCAGCTCCCAGTGACAACATCCAGGGTGAGCACTTACTGGAGAACTTCCTACCATATAAAATATCTCCTGTTCTCTTCTCTTTGTTGTTTTTTATTTTCTCTCAGCTTTTCCCTGRTGCTGCAATGAGATCCTGAGTGGCACAAGGATGGGCACTCAGCTTTTCTCTCCCAGTGCTCTGACTGTGGAGGACAAACAGGATTCTTCTGGAGCTCCAAAACTCAGCATCACCTGAGTGTGTGAGATCCCAGTTACCCTGACACCCTTGATACCCAATTCTTCCTTGCTTTCGTTGTTCTCTTGTTTAAAATGAGGCCAATCTGGAGCCCAGCTGAGGTTTTATGGTGGGACAGACAGACTGATCCCAATGTGGGATTGGGTTTGGTGTCACAGGCTGGGTTTGGATGTCCCTGCCAAGCCACCCAAGCAGCCCTGGAGAGGGGGTGGCCTTTGCCCCTGGACTGAGCTGGCTGCTGGCTGACCCCTGATCAGATATCTGGGTACCTTTGGCCTGGAAAKAAGTGGGACAGAGCCAGATGGGGGCAGTGACCTCAGCTGCAAACTCCCTGTGGCTCCTGTTGGCAGAACTGAGATAACAGCGAGGGCTTCTCTGAGAGAGCTGGGTAAGGGCAGCCTTTTCTCCCTGAGCCTTCTCAAACCTCTCCTCCATCATTTCCATCAAATTTGGAGAACTCTTCCCTTTGCTGCCCTGGAGCCCCTCTGCAGTTGGGCACCCTTCAGTCCTGCCCTGCTCCCTCCCATCTCCCGTTCCTCTGTCAGCACAGGTCACCAGCAGCAGGAAGCAGATGAGACTCTCATTTTCATTGCAGTTTCGGGACTCCTGAGTTGATAGCAGAGGGTAAAGTACCACGGACGTGGCCATTCCAATTTGGGGTGATTTTTGTCCTCCTGGATGCCCTTTATTGCCCTGCTGTTGTCCCTGCCAGCAGCTGACTCCGGTGTCTTCCCTGCCCTTCTCCCTTCCCWTCCTCCTGCCTGGAGTTCACTCAACACATGAAAATGAGAGCAAAGAGTTGCAACTTGTTGAGAGGAACATGCCCAAGGAAGCGCAGGATAATTTCCCCTGATTATTAAACACATTCCATTCCTCACTTGTTTTGACATTGTCCCATGGAGAAAAATATTTTGTTTTACTGAGAGGCCTCGCTGTTGCTTTTCCTGTCAGGAATTTTTGCTCCCTAAGTGTTCAGCTCCATCCAAACCCTACAATGAGAAGTTCCTTAAAATTCCTTCTGCATCCCACCCCTACAGATGAAATTTAATTTTGTTAGGTCATTCCAAAGCCACAAAGATCCCAAAACTGAGATAAAAAAAAATACAGACAAGAGTTGTAATTCAATGTGGTCCTTCCTCTGCTAGCAAAGAAGAGAATGGGAATATAGGAGAAAAAAATCCATACAGGAATTTTATGAGGCATTGGAAATTTGACAAGAAGCATTTTTGATACTCAAAAATACCCAAGAATAAACAGAAGTGAATAAGGATAATGCYCAATTCCATACTAGAATATTCACACTTGTCTCCAAGCCTTGCCTGGAAGGACACATTAAAAAAAAAAAAAAAAATGAATGCAGCCAGCCACACCTTGAGCTATCAATCCACAAATACTCAGAGGAATACACACATCCAGGGATTAATGAGCTGCTGCTGGCTTCTCTCCCAATAAACCCCTCTCTCCAATTATCTGAAGGGAAAATGCAGCTTTTTTCTGCTGAAGCTACACCTCTGCCATGGATTTTAAAGATATGTGCCACAAATGAGTGGCTGAAAGTTGTTCAACTTTTTCCTTTTCTAAGAAGTGGTAATGCATTGAAAAACCCCACCCACRCACACGCAGTGCCATTGAATTGGGAATGATATTTCACATATTGAAAATGAAACGGGATGAATTTTTGGAATATTTGTCCTGAACTGAACTTCAGCCGTGAGCAATTTGTAGAATTAATTTTTGGGATTATTTTGGTTACTAATTTTTTGGGTTATTTTGCCCCATGAATGAAAGCCAGCATTGACAGAGAAGTGAATTCTGCCTCTGGTTGTTGATCACCATGGTCCTTTTTAAGCTGGAGGGGACAAACCTGAGCATTCTCTGTCCCTAATGAGAGCAGGGAAAGGTCTCTGCAGAGCTGTGGAGTCCCAGCTTGCAATGAACACACACAGATCAAAAAATTCCAGGTCAGGCCTGAAAACTGGCACTGTTTATCCATAAAAAAAACAGGGATTAGTCAGCTCCAATTTTCTCTCTTCCATTCCCACCAACATGCCTCGAGCCTGACCAGAATTCACTTCCTTTTGGACAGGGAAACCTTGCTCCCTTCCTTGTTGAGACAGCAAAAATGGAGCCCAATTAATGCCATTAATTAATTAAAGTCCATCTATGAGCAGTGACTACAGGAAATGATCCCAGGGAAGGGGTGTTGGACTGGAAATTCAGAGTGAGGAAAGAGCAAAGAGCCACACTGGGTTTATCCCGTTGGCCAAAATGTTCTCCTGACATTTATTAATCCCAGGACATCCTGCCGGGATCCTGCTCCGGAAACTGGAGGGGAAAGAAAGCTCTGCTCACACTGGAAATGTGGCTGGGTCATTGATTATCTGGGCAGTTTGATAATTAGCTGATTCCTCGTGGGTTGCTTTGGACACTCACTCGGAGGCAGAAGGTTAATGGAGTTCTCTGCCAACTTCAGGAACCCAAAAATCWGCAGAGAATCCGGAACTGAGTGTTCAGGGTCAGCAGTTATGGGATTGTGATCCAGCACAGAGCACGGATTTGTACCTGAGCTTGAACAGCATCAGCCAAAACCCTCACCACGGCAGCATCCGGGTGGAGCTGAGAGTGCTCCAAATTTAAATAGCAAAAATCTGCAGCAGTAAATATCAGCCTGTGATTTACTGCCCAGGAGCTGTAAAGGGTTTCGAAAGAGCTGATAACGGGGCTGTCAAGGGCAGTTCAAGCAGATAACACCAATTCTCTTGGCTTCTAAAAGTCAAATCAACAGAACATTTGTGAGCAGAGTGAGGTGCCTGGGGTTGAACAAATTGTTTCCCTTAACTCTTGTTTCATATTGGCACAGCTCCACTGGCTCTGGTGTGCTAATATTCATTTATAAAGCTGGGAAAAGAGGTTTTGGGGGTGTTTTTGTCCCAGGATTTTGGGTGGATGGCCCAGACAGACCTGCACCTCAGCAGGAGCTCCTTGGGGATTGATCATCCCCCCTGCTCACACTCAGTGTCACACTCAGCCTGCCAGGAATGGTGCTTTTTTAAAATATGAATAATTTCTTTGGATTCTGCAAAAATTCAAACTATTTCCATCCTTCCTCCGAAGTTTCTGTGGATTTTATKCTGTCCTAATGGCAGAGACGTGGAACAATCCCATCCCTGGGATCTCCAAGGCCCCAGTTCAGACTGTGCTGAGGATGTAGGAGCCTGCTGGACTGGAATTCCCAAAATCTCCTGGGATCAGAGAGGGGAAGGGGCTGGAGGCACGGATTTGCCTCACTCCTGAAGGGCAGGATCGAAAATGGCAAAATTGGTGACACAAAAGGTCAGCTGTCCCCAAAGCTGTGCCCTGCAGGGCTGGGACGGTGCCAGGCTGTGCCCACCAGACCCTCCCTGTACAAACTGGGCTTTGCAAACCATTTCCCAGTTCCAGAAATATCATAAAACAGGAGGTTCTCACCCTTCCATTAAAATCTATTTGAAATAATTTTAAGCCCAAGCCCACTGTGGATGTTGAGGAGGATGAAAGCACCACAGCAGCTTTTTTGGGCAAGAAGTTGCCATGAAGGACAAGAGTTTTGTGAAGCTGCAAAGATTTCGTGATAAAAATCAYGAAACACGCCTGGAGTTTGAGTAATTTTTACACCTTAAAGAATAATTGTAGAGAAAAAAATAGAATTCTTTATTTTCTTACAAAARTGCCTGGAAATATCCAGATAATGCACAAATTGGTATGGGGGTACCAATGTCTGAGCATAACAGAGGAGAGCAAGCAAATGAAAAACAAGAAACATCAACAAACACTAAGAACTTGTATCATTTCAGCATATAAAAAATTAACTCAGTGTTATGTAGAGAGATAAAGCTGTACTTGAAATTGTAAATGTATAAAACTAGTGACCATGACAACCAAAATCCAGAATTGCAGGGCAGTGACAATTTGAACCTTTAGCTATTGCAATCTCCATGAGAAATAGATCCCTTTGAAAAGGTTGGGATCCTGATTTCCGGGGAAATTGCTCTCTGAAGCAGAATTTTACAGAATTTTACTCATCCCGTGAAGGAGCTATCCTCTTAGGATAATCATMATTTCACAGAACCCATAGGATTCCAGTGGTTCCATGTCTGGATTAGGCCTTCTCATGCAAGGAAAGGCCACGAAATTTTTACAACAAAGGTGGGATAAAATGGTTTGTGCAGGAGCTGGAGGCCTGGAAATCTGTGGGGAAGGGCAGAGGATTTGCCAGGCGCGGGACTGCAACAGTTCAGATCAAAGCAACAAATCCTGGTTCTTATTTCCCTTCTGTAAGGCACCGAGGAATGCCAAGGAAATGCATTTTTTTTCATTATCCCACTTTTCCAGCCCTGTTTTTGAAATGCATTTCTTTCATTATCTCCATTTTCCATCTCTGTTTTTGAAATGTATTTCTTTCATTATCCTGGTTTTCCTGCCCTGTTTTTGAAATTTGTTTTTCTTTCATTATCTCCATTTTTCATCCCTGTTTTTGAAATGCATTTTTTTCATTATCCTGATTTTCCAGCCCCATTTTTAGCCCTATTCCAGACTCCCAGCTCCCTTCCCAGTTTGATCCACACACTGGTAATTTGGGAAGGACTAAGGCAGTTTCTTTCTGACTTCCCCAGCTCTCCCTCTCAGATCCAGCAGCACCAGTTCAGCCGGGACTGGTCCCAAACTGGAGTCAGCTCTCCYCAAACTGGGCTGTGGAGCTGCCACAACCTCCCACCCAAAACCCTCAGAGCTCCTCACCCCATCCAATCCCTGAGCTGCACAAATCCCTGCATTTCCACAGGTTATGGATGCCCTCGATGTTTTTCTTTCCTTTTAACCACATTTTCCCAGTGGAACAGTCTGGGAGCTTTTCCTGGTGCTGTTCCTGGCTCGGCAGTCCAAGGGATGTGCTGCAATCCTCCCCTGGCTGCTGGAGCCTCCACTGCTCTGATTCTCCAGGTCTCTCTCTGAAGAGGAGGCAGCAGCAGGGCTCTCCTTCATTTCCTCAAGCTGAATGGAAGAGAAAAAAAGAATCTTTATAGCATTTGATTAGTCCAAAGCAAACAGCACTGAACAAGCTTCAGTTAAAGCAGTGAATACYCAGATTAGACTGGGAGATATTAGGAGATATTTTTTGGCTGGTCAACACCACAGGGAAAAAATACTGAAATGTCCTTGATTTCTAATTTAAGGAATCCATTCTAGATCAGAGATTTGGTTTATCAATGTAGCTTGTTGTACASATAAGTTATTTTGTGAGAGAGAAAATCTGACATTCAGAAATGTAGAATAAGTTTCAACACTGCCTGACCATTTACAAACAGATTTTTCCTTGTCCTCCTGCCTCAAATCAAGTTTTGTTATCTAAACCCTGTAGAGAGCTGTTCACTAAGGCATCTCTTCATTAATCTGCAATTTGATGCTCAAAATCAATGATATTCCCAGGGAATATCTTCTGGGATGTGCTGGAGAAGCTCTAACACAACACCGGCTGTTATTTTCTTCAGCAGCGGGCATATTTTAATTTTCCCCCTTTCTGACTTTCACCATGCCCAGAAAACATGGAATGTAAGCCTGAATCCCGAGCCGTGAGCTGTGTGAAACAGGGGGATATTTTCAGTTAAAAACACGAGATATTTTCAGTTAAAACCGGGATATTTTCAGTTAAAACCGGGATATTTTCAGTTAAAAACACGGGATATTTTCAGTTAAAAAAACGGATATTTTCAGTTAAAAACATGGGATATTTTCAGTTAAAAACACGGGATATTTACAGTTAAAAAAACGGATATTTTCAGTTAAAAACATGGGATATTTTCAGTTAAAAACACGGGATATTTACAGTTAAAAAAACGGATATTTTCAGTTAAAAACATGGGATATTTACAGTTAAAAAACCGAATATTTACAGTTAAAACACGGGATATTTTCAGTTTAAAGCAGGGAAGCGGCGTGGCATCGAATCACTGACATTGCGAGAGCGAAGAGCACACAAACACTTCTTTCCTTCCACTCCCAGCTCCACAAACCCCCCGAGGAGATGCCAGAGAACCCTCCCAGAGCCCGCAGCCGCACCTGCCCGCCGGAGGAAGGCGATGGGCAGCTCCCGGCTGGGGACCAGCGTCCCCAAATGCAGCGTCGCCACCGGCTCCTGGTCCGTGGCCACCACCCGGTATTTGCGGAGCATCTGCAAYGACACATCCCCGGTCAGCTACGGGTTCGGGAGCCGCTCAGCCGAGGGCAGCGAGCCCCAAAAGGTGTTTTTTKGGGGGATTTACCCAGCAAAGAGCCAGGTGAAGCTGCAGTTCGGCCACCCGGCGCCCCACGCACATCCTGCGGCCGATGCCGAACGGGACATGGGCGAASGGATGGATGGAACCGCGCTGCAGCCACCGCTCCGGCCGGAACGCTGCCCAACCCCTGAAATAYTCCTCGCTGCAGCCCAGGGCGTGGCTGTTGATCATCAGCACCGTCTGCGGGAACAGCGAGAGGAGAAAAAACACAGGYGGGTTATAAAGCGCTCCCCCGGGAACCCGCGCCGCGATGGAAAAACGTAACGCGGCCGCTTCCTCGGGAGGTGAGGCGGGATTCCCGAAAAATTCATTGGAACGGGGGAAAGGTTGTGGTTTCCTCAGAGAATCATGGGGAAAATTGAAAAAAAACCAAAAAAAACCCGTTGGAATAGCACATCGGAATGTTTTCAGGGAAATGTTAAATCTGGATGCTGCAGCAGCGCAGGCAGGTGTGGGTTCTGCTTTATGGGAATTGCTCATTCCTCATTCCTCATTCCTCATCCTAGGACTGGTCCCTTGGCAAAGCCAATTTGAGACCGAAATAKGACCAGCTTCTGTGCTTTAAAGGATTAATAAATGGGAAAACACCCCATTAAGCGGAATTAATTGACTTACCCCCTTGGGCAGCACGTAATTTCCCAGGACCATTTCCGAGTCGATGGTGCGAGTGGTGAAAGGCACTGATGGGGTTAATCTGCAGCAAAARAGAGCCCTGGGTTAAATTCCCAGCGATTTTCCTTCCTTTATCTCTCATGTTTTACCTCAAACAGCAAGGTGAACAAAATTCTGTGTACTGGGGAATTATTTCTCCTTCATACAAAGCAGACAGTAAAGAACTTGGTGATTGTTTTGGGAGTTATTTGGGAATTTTACCTCATGGATTCCTTCAGACAGGCTTTTAGGTAAGGCATGTCCTTCAGGCTTTCAGCACTTGGGTTTTCATGAGGAGCCAGAACACTCTGGATTTCMTGGAAAAGCTTCTCCTGGACGTGGGGATTGCGGGAAAGGTTGTACAGAGCCCACAGCAAACTGTTGGCTGTCTGCAACAAAGCAAAAACAAAGGTTAAAACCTCCTGCTGTGGGGGCAGAAAGGAGAAATTTCCAAAAGCTCAAAGCAGCTTTTATGGCTTGATGGGATTTTGGCAGCCTGAAGGGTTAAGAGCCATCCCATTGTCCTCCAGAACTGAAAATCAGTGATTTCAGGTAAAAATCCATCTGCTCTTGGGCCAYTGAGGCCACTGCAGGATTAAACCCCATCCAGGAGTGCTGGGGCTGGGCTGTGGGAGGCAGGAGGGATATGGGGGGGATTTTAAACCCTTGGAAAAGCAGCTTTACCGTCTCCACACCAGCAATCTGCAGCTCGGCGATGGCAGCGTACAGCTCCTTCCTGGACAGGCGTCCCCCGGAGTAAATATCACACAGAAAATCCTCCTGGGGCCGGGCTGAGTGCCTCTCCAGCCTGCTGTCGATGGACTGCTTGGCTGGGCACAAAAAAACACCACAGGATTAATGGGAAACCCCTCAAAACCCCATAAAAATAAAAACAAACCCACATCTGACATGCGGGATTTGGAAAGGAAGCGCCAAGCTCAGCTGTGTTTTCAAGCAATGGGTAAATGCTGAATAAAAAATGGTATTTTCACTTCTGAGACAAAATACTCAAATCTTTTTAGATCCCTTACTCCTGCAAACTCTTCAGGATTCTGTTCTCTTAAATGAGGGGAGGAAATCGGTGACACACTGAGGGGAATATTAAGCAAACAGGAACATGAGTGATCAGATTTATTACCTGGGGCTTTCAAAGGGGGGGAAGGTGTTAAAAAAATCAAAGGGACTTAGCACCCAGACCCCCGAGGGAAATGTAAGCCTTGGATTTACCAGGGGGAGGCACAAACAGAGGCCAAATTTCATCATGATTGGCTTTTTTTTTTTAACTAAAAACCCCCTAAATTTGGCCCATGAATATCCCAATAGTTCAAAGCAGTTCCTGGTAAGGAGTTATTAATTTTAAGTGAAGGTGTCAAACTGGTTTCTCTGAGCAAAACTGGTTTAAAACCTGGTCTTTCCTAAACCCCATAAAGTAAGAAGCAATAAAATAAGTGCATGTGTGGCTGGCAGGACCAAAGCCTGGAAATATCGAGAATTCAAATCCCTAAAGGAAATATCTCAGTGTTTTACCCATCTGGGTTGAATTGCTCATTCCTCAACCTTTAGCTATTCCTGTTACTGTTTAAATTAATTCAATTTTAAAATATTAAAAAAAATTCAACTTAATTTTATGCCTGGAGTTCGAGTAATTGTCACACTTTGAAGGCCAATTCATTTTAAATAATCAAAAAAATGCTGGCAAAATGCCAAACTGCACTTGTTAAATTACTTCTGGTTTTAAGATTTACAGCCACATTGCAGGTTGTTCAGAAAATCTATCATTGCTTTTTTTTTTTTTTTAAGAAAACAGGTTTTTGTTGCATGCAAAATTGTTATTTCTCAAGGAAGCCACTCTGAGGTCCCTTTGAGGGAAGTCCCTTTTCATTTATACCCTTGCCTTTAAAGACTTTACACACTTTTAATTGACTTTTATGGCAGGTTAAAGCGGTGCCGTGGCATTGCCAGCTCCCAGAACCCTGGGATTTCCCTGGGAATTKCGTATTGCCCCACAGCATGAGTGTTAGTCAATAAAAACTGCTCCCATGTGGGAATGGATCTGCGTTTAGGTGCAGCAAAGGTGTTTTAATCYGTGCTGAAGGCAGGGATTAGCACAGCAAGTGTGAAAAAATTAGGGTAAAAACAGAGAAAAAGGGAAAGGAGATGAGCTGTGAATTAATAATGACCTGTTTTAAAGATATCGTCCCATGCTTTGGTGTGAGCTTGCCAGACTTTGGTGTTCAGCCCCTTGTGCAGCTCCACGGGGGTCACCATCATCATCCCRAACGTGGCCATCATCTGTGGTGACAAAGAGTTTGGGAAATTTCCCTTCAATCCCTCTAATCCCTCTGAACAAAGCGAGGCTGTGAGCAGGAGGTGACTYTCAGCAAGGGAAAATCCTGCAGATTGTCCATCCTGGATGGAAGGGATGGGTCTCAGCCTGCTTGAGGCATGTCCAGATGAAATTGGGGGAATGTCCTGAGCAGGGAATGAGCCCTCTCTGCTTGGGGCACCTGTTTGGGATGGGAAAAGATCCTTTTGGCAGTGCTTTCTCTCCCTTGGGGAGAGGGAAAAGCAGAGCTGCCTCTGCTGGCTGGGTAAACTGAGGCAGGGTTGTGTCCCAGCAGAACGGGGACACTCAGCTCTGACTGCAGCCATCACTGACCCCAAATGCAGAGGGTTTGTGTCACCCTGCACACGAGGGGAGCAGAGCCATCCAGCCGAGCCCACAGCTCCTCCCAGCATCACCCCGATGGGATTTTCCTGTCGGATTGGGGCATTTCACTAAGAAGGGAAATGTTCAGGGTTAGCTCAGCAGCCACAGCTGCTCTGTTGGGTACAGGGCACAGGAGCCTGAGCTTCTTTTCCATTTAAACTGGTGCCTCTTGTGGAAAATTCCCCCAGGAAAGGCTGTTCCATACCGTTTTCACAGCCTTGATGAAGTTCAGACTTTCTTCTGCCACGTCCTCCTGCAGGAGGCCAAACCTCTTCCCATACAGCACCAAACAGATACCTGGAGTTAAATAATATAATAATTAAATTAAATCAACAAAAAGGGGAGTAGGAGGCATCATTTATCCTCAAGGAATGGCGTGGATGATCCTTCTGAAGATGTCCCTTGGCACAAACCTCTTAGAGCAGCATTTTTAAAGCACCTTCTGCTGTTTGCCCTGATCCCAAAGAGGGTTTCCCCCAAGGGGCTCTCGCAGCAATATTTGTCCCAAACCAGGATCACCCCAATCCCCCCACGAGCAGCAGGGCTGGATATTTGGCAACTCTGCTGCAGAAAATTGAATGGTAGGAGAGCTGGCCTTGAAAAGGCCATCGACTCCATTCCCTGCTCCTTCCACAGCCACAAACCACTCACAAACACTGGATCATCCCACACTCCACCGCTTTCCACTCGCCTTTTTTTCCTCTTTTTTTTTAAACCAGTCACTTCCTATTTCTCCCTTGCCAAAAGCAGCCAACACCACTGAGAGTGGAAAAAAAACCAAAAAAACCACTTTGAAGAGCTCAGCCCAGAGGCTGCTGAGAGGAKCCAGCCAGGAGCAGAAGGCTCTGCCAGAGCTCATTCAGCTGCTACACCCAACCATCCCTTTTTTTTTGAGCCCGTTTTTTCTGCCCTGTGTCATTCCTGGCAGATTCCWCAGTGTGCTCTGGAAGGTTTCAAAGGATGAGGTTCCTGTGTTGGTAACTCATTCCAGCGCTCCTCAGACCCAGTGTAAACATTGTAAATGGGATTTTCCAGCCTTTGGCTACAACAAACACCCTGTGATTGGAACATTTCATTGATCTTGCACCGCTGATAATTAACAAATATCAGATGGACAGAAAAGGCTGTGTGTTATCTGAATTCCTCTCCAGATAAATGCATGGTAACCCCCCAATTTTTTGATTTATAAATCATTGGAATGCATGAATTTTTTATAGGCTGTGCAGGTAATTAGAAGAGTTTCTCTTCATGCTGAATTTTGCAGTGAATTTTTGCATGAATTCATGATGAATTTTGCAGTGACAGTCCCCTGGCTGTTCTGCAGCTCAGTTTCCATGATGTTATAGCTGAGAGTTTGAAATCACCAGCCAACACATTCACCTCGATCATRTTTGAGCTGAAAAGCCCTGGCAGGTGCACCACGCTGAGGCAAAAAAAAAAGACTCACTTTCAAATGACCATTTGTTGAATTCTGAATAAACRTCCTCCATCTGTCCATTGTGGTCACAGATTTCATCTATTCTGTACATAAAGTCCTCCAGGACCTAAATGGTGGAGAAAAGAGAAAGAAAAGAAGAGGATAAAGTGACATCAACTAATAAAATCCCGTGTAATTCCGCTTTTCAACTGTGTTTTTAGCAGATAACAATCTTGCATGGGAGGAATCCTTTTGTTCCCCGTTTTTTGAAAAGGATTCAGCCTCTCCCTGTGGGAACAAAGGTTTGGATTTGACACAGCTCTGGGGCTGTCGCTGCTCGTGTCCGATGAGCCTTCCCTCCGCAGGGGTGGAATCCCTCACCCCGAGACAGCCCTGGGGTTTCACAACCGACAGGATTAAGGTGTTTATCGCAGATGCTCCTCAAACTCAGCCAGGAGCACAGAGGTTAAGGACAGAGGTGTTTTCTTGTGGGGAGGAACGGAACGATGAAGGGGTAAAGGCAAAAACTACTGAACGCAAGAAAAGTCGGCAAAAACCGTTCGCAGGAGCCTTTGTGGAATTATGCGATTGCTCCGTGGAGACAGCCAGCCTCCCCTGCAGGTTTCTGTGTGGTCTCAGACCCCGGCAATCGGTCTGTACTTGTTATTCCCTTCATGATCTGCGTCTGAACCCGCGCTTTTATCGCTGTGGAGCAACACAGCTATCCAGATAAACCGGATCTGCTTTTATTCCCAGCCCTGCAGGGGAGTGGGGCAGGGAGGAAGGGTTTCTCGGTACCTCATTGATCGGCGTGTCCAGTTTCACAACTTCCCTGGGCTTCATTAATTTCTTCTGAAAGGCGCTTCTCACCCTCTGCCAGTCCTCCCCTTCCCTGGGTTGCGATAAAAACAGCGGCGTTGAGAAGCGAAAGGCTCAGAGGAGAAGGAAAGCAGAAGAAAACCCCAAACCGCGGCAGCGCTGATGCTCCATCGCACCGACGGCACAAGCGGGGGATCCTCGGGACCGGGAGATGATCCCCGGGGGCACGGCCATCCTTGGGAACGGGGAATAAACCCCGGGGCACGGCCACCCTCGGGAACGGGAGATGATCCCCGGGGGCACGGCCACCCTCGGGAACGGGAGATGAGCCCCGAGGCACGGCCACCCTCGGGAACGGGAGATGAGCCCCGGGGGCACGGCCACCCCCGGGAACGGGAGATGAGCCCCGAGGCACGGCCACCCTCGGGAACGGGAGATGAACCCCGGGGGCACGGCCACCCCCGGGAACGGGGAATGAACACCGGGGCACGGCCACCCTCGGGAACGGGGGATGAGCACCGGGGCACGGCCACCCTCGGGAACGGGAGATGAGCCCCGGGGGCACGGCCACCCTCGGGAACGGGGGATGAACACCGGGGCACGGCCATCCTCGGGAACGGGGGATGAGCACCGGGGCACGGCCACCCCCGGGAACGCATCCCGGGACCCCCGGTGCCCACCGGAGCCGGGCTGAGGGCGGCATCCCCCGGCACCCTCCCTCTCYCGCACCGCTTCCCCTCCAGCGCAGGTGCCTGCCCGGGATGCTGCGGGTGCCACTCACAGGATGAGCAGCCCGTAGCCCTCGTCGCGATAGTCGCGATAKGCTTTCCAGGGCTTGATCTCGAGGCGCTGCGGGCAGGCGCTCTCGCGGCGGTACAGAGCCTCCAGCAGGCAGGGAGACGCGATGTGAACCGAGTCGAACGCCCCCAGCTTCATGCGGAAAATCTTCCCGAAGCGCCGGTGGTACTGAGCCTGGGGGGCAGGAGAGACCCCGCGGTGAGTGCGGGGCGCTCCCCGGGGCGGCGTCCGCATCCTCATCCCGTGCCCATCCTCATCCTCATCCTCATCCTCATCCTCATCCTCATCCTCATCCTCATCCTCATCCCGTGCCCATCCTCATCCTCATCACGTTCCCGTGCCCATCCTCATTCCGTTCCCGTGCCCATCTTCATCCTCATCCTCATCCTCATCCCGTTCCGGTGCCCATCCTCATCTCGTCCCCCTCATTCACAACCTCATCCCGCACCCATCCTTATCCCGTGCCCATCCTTATCCTCATCCCGTTCCCATCCTCATCCTCAGCCCGTGCCCATCCCCATCCTCATCCTCATTTGCATCCCGTCCCCCTCTTCATCCACACTTTCACCCCGTGCCCATCCTCATCCGCACTCTCACCCCGTGCCCCTCTTCATCCTCACTCTTATCCCGTGCCTATCCCATCCCATCCCATTCCCATCCCCATCTCCTCACCAGGGTCTCATGCTGCCTCTTGAGCCCCCCCTTCCAGAGCACGTCGGGCAGGCTGCCCATCAGGGGCCAGCTCGGGGGCCCGGGCAGGGTCTCCGCGGGCCGCGGGGCGCTCAGCGAGGACGCGGGGGCTGCGCGGCCGCAGGTGCGGGTGCGGAGCCGGCGGAGGAGGAGGATGCTGCGGACRCCCATGGCAGCGGTGCCGGCCCCGGCCGCGCTCAGGTGCATTTATAGAGCCCGAGGTGCTGGACTTTCATCGGGGCCAATGGCAGCCATGGGTGGGGTGAGGTGGGGCGGCCGGCCCGGCCCTGCCCGCGGGGCAGGCGAGTCATGAAAGGGTTCAGGAGAGGCACGGGAGGCACCGCGCCAGCGCCTCCGCCCGCTGGGATCCCGGGGATGCGCGGATGGGACGCACCGAGCTCCCGGGGGATTTG